GCCCCGCTGACTTCAGCGACGCTGTCACTCTACGATCACTACTACTTTTGCCGATGACGACGCTGGCGGTGCGGCGCCGTGCGGTGTGCGGCCTGGCGCTCCTCGCGCTGCTCTGCGGCTGCGCCTCCGTCTGCGGTGCGAATGCTGAAGGAACTGCTGGATCGCCTGAGAACCCTCCTCCTGATGTTGGGGGAAAAATATTTTTGCCGGTGGACGTGGCGTGTGAGTTGTCCGAGGGGAAGTTGCATTGGCGGCTCGCTGGAGAAAAGGGCTGGAACAACTGTGCGACCGTTACAAGCGAACCGGAAGATGAGGTTGCATGGCTGTGCGACAGCGCTGCATGGCTGTACGGTTGTTGGAACTGCACCGAGGCGTGTGCCGCTGCCGGTAGTGACGCTGTCGCGTTCACGATGAAAGTTGCGGCGTACGGGAAGAGCCAACTTTACAGGAAGTCGCTGGCGGCAAAAAGTGCTGCCGCTGGCGTCTCCTTTTCCGACGCGACAGGCGTTTGTGCGTTGGTGGGCGTGAATAACACGGGCGATGGATGCGCCGGTGAAAAACTCGTTGCGGCCAAACCACCGGCACCTGCGGCGGTCAGACTAACGGGAGGAACTGAGGCACAGCAGCAAGGACGGACAATTGAAGCCAAAAGTGAGCCGCAGCTGCAGGAGGAAGGCCGACGCGACGCAGGAGAAGCTGCAGCAGGTGCTGAGCGCGGCAACACCGGGGGCACCGCAGCGCAGAAGCCTGCAGGCCCTGCGCCTCAGCCCACGGCCAAGCCGCCTGCAGAGTCTGCGTCCCCGGTGGGTGGTGCCGGTGGGCAGCCCGCGCACACCGTTGAGGGCACAAAGCAGGTGGATGAACGTGTGCCCGCCACCAAAGTGCCGCCCAAACAGAGCGCACAGCCACAGGCGGGAGGTGGCTTGGCCCAAGGCGGCGTTGACGGTGCCACGGGGCACCCGAAAGCAGCAGAAGACGGTGAAGAAGCGGGAGGCGTTGCAGAACTTCAAGCGGCGGCTGTGCACGGCAGCGACTTGACAGCCCTCTCGCAGTCCACTGCCGGCGCCGAGACCATCGCCGGGGCCCAGCCGCCCGAGAGCAAAAGGCAGACGCAAGGGGCAGCGGCGGCGCAGAGCGGTGCCCAACCCGAAATTGACTCTACGGTCACCAGCGGCCCAGCTGCTCCCGCTGGGAGTCGGGCGGGGGCAACTCCACCAGTTCCCTCCACAGAGCCGAATGAGACCAATGCCGAAGACACCGCAGACCCCAATGCCGCTCGCGCAACTGCAGAGAGCGAGGCTAAAACCCCTGCAGCGCGGCCCCTCGCTACCAGCACAGATAACACCGCGACGACGACTGACGGTGACAGCAGCACCGCGGCCGCGCACTCCGCCTCCCCCCTCGTGCTGCTGCTTCTTTTGCTTGCGTGTGCGGCAGTGATTGTGGCCGCGTGAGTGACTGAGTGAGAGGGCCGTGTGTACATACAGCTCTTCCTTCTTCCTCTATTTGTGTGTCCCCCTGCACGGACTCTCTCGCCCTCGCATTACCTCACGAGGCACACACACATAGTGTGCTCATATATATATATACACCTCCACTCATGCAGGCCCGTCGGTTTTCTTTTCTTTTGTTTGCACCCGACGAGCCGCTGCCGTCCTGCTTGGCTGCATGGGTACAGCACCGTAACTTTTTTTGTCCTCTTTATTGTGTGTTTGCTTCCATTGCTTTCAGTGGGCGACCCCTTGCTTCCTCTTTCTCTCTCTTCCTGGATTGGGCTGTGCGGGAACAGAGAGAACGTGTGTGTGTGTGCTGGTCGTCCCACGTGTTGCTGCGCGTCTCCACGCTTCGGCTTCGCTTCACGGGGTTGTTTTGATTTGCTTGTGGGAATGTGCGAGCGGAATGGCCGCTTCGTGCATTGTGTCGTTCGGAATGTGCTGAATGCGCAGTCGATCATCTTTTCTTTGTTTTATTGTTCATGCGTGCACGCAGGAGTCGTCAAGGGCAAGGCGGGAAGAGTTGATGTTCTTGTTTTAGAGGCAAGTTTTTGCGGGGCGCCGCTGCCGTTCATCGCCACCCAATTGCCGTGGGGGAAACCGGGTCTTTTTGCCTCCCGCTGCTGCATTGGGCCTGGCGTGCGTGGTAGATGCTCCGGGGGCGAGACAAGT